TAAAACCACCATGAATAACAAAAAAACTCAAGAGGAATTCTTGTAAAATTATCAAAAGTATACAAAATTCTAGAACGATATAGAAAAACCCTAGTACTGGGTGAGTTATTTATAATAAAAAAAAATCTACGACTTGTAGTGTTTTTGATTTCGATAAGGAAACTCAAAAAAAAAAGAATGTGGTGTTTTAAACACTGAAATGTTGGAAATTGTGATTTGTCTGATTTGTTTTTAAATCGAGTTGTTTTAGGTATGGTTGTTATAAAGAGAAAGTTGAATGAGAAGAGAAAGAAAAGAGGCTTTAGGTTTGAGTATTTATTTATCGTATGGCGATCTACAAATTGACTTACAACTATTATAGGTAAAGCATGTACGTATATATGTATATAAACAAGATGTTCTACAAATTGACAGATAATTCAAATAAATATATTTATTATGCGAATACATTTGAGACGTGAGCTATGGGTTATAGGTCGATATCCAGGGAGGTCAGCCAATTCACGGCGGCAGGAGTGGCATTCAGGATCTCGTTCCATTCTCCTTCAAATCTTCTTATTGGACACTCATTGGCTACATGGGCTACAGTTTGAGCCGGCGCTCCGCAGTCACATTCCTGGGTGTCCGAGAGTCTCCACCTGTACAGCATGGACATGCATCTGGCGTGGCCAGTTCTGATGCGGTTAAGGCTACACCATGCTTTCCTAGGCAGTTGCATTCCTGGGAGAGGAACAGTAGGATTCTCATGGTCATTGTGGTTAAAATCATGGTTGGCTGTCCATTTGGTTTCCCAGGCTTTGATATGAAATGGTTCATGGTGGGTTAGTACCTTATCTTGCCAAATGGGTTTCGGGACTTAAGACGGCGGCCTGGAGCATTATCCAATATTCTGTGGATTGGCAGAGTTCTAGGGTGGCTAGGGTCGTGTAGTTTATTCCATTCGCGAACAGCAGCTTGTTGTCTTCTCAGATCTGGAGGAGCTAAATTCGTTAGTGCGTGAAGCCATGGAATTGGAGTGGCCTTTAGGGTTCCTGATATGATTCTCATAGTGTCATTGAGGTGCACATAGACTTTGTTAGTGTAAGAGCTCTTGTACCACACTGGTGCACAGTAATCTGCCGTTGAGAAAACAAGTGATTGGGCTGCCGTTCGTAGTGTTTCTGCTTTCGCTCCCCAAGTAGTCCCGGCCAGTTTTCTAATTATGTTGTTCCTGGTTTTTAGTTTTGTCCGGTTATCTCCAGGTGTCTTTTATATGTTAGGGACCGGTCTAGTGTAACGCCAAGGTATTTGGGGTGGCTGTTGTGTTTTACTCTTTTACCACAGAATGTGACATTTAGGTCTATATTTGCAAGGCGGTTATTAAGATGAAATGCACATACCTCGGTTTTGCTTGGGTTTGGGCATAGTCGCCACTGTTTGTAGTATCTCCCGAGGATTTCTAAGTCCGCCGTTAGAGTCTCCTCACCATTTGAGTGAAACATTGGTATGTATAGTCGTAACCAGGATTTAACATCAAATGCAAATATGAATCAGATTTTTGTAAATGCAAACAAGATTCATAAAAAATATTGGAAACATTATTGTGCATTGAATAATGTTTATAAAGTTTTCGTGTTTTATGATAATAGTGTTCTACAACCTAATTCGGTATAAGAGACTACCTACATCTTTTTTATTACACAGTCCTAATTCTTCTTCTTGGATCTTCTTGGTATGGAAACGATGAACAAAAACACGATTAGCCCGTCACACCAAACTTTTATTTTAATTAAATAATAAATTAAAATAAAAGTTTGGTGTGACGGGCTAATCGTGTTTTTGTTCAACACAGTCCTAAAAAAAATAATTCCATTAGCTATAATAGGGTGCCTTTTGTTGTACCAATTCTGGATTTAGTTTCAACAGAAGTGTCGTTTTGTTGTGCCTCAGTTTCACTTCTCGTCATTCTTTTCATTCCATGGATTTAGATCGAATGACTGGAAGGAAGTGGGTAGAGTGGGGAGGCAAATGTCAAAATTGTCAAAAGCTTATAAACGTGGTAAATTTATCCTTAATGTATTTGTTGTGCCTTAACCTATAAAAATGTCCGAGGAAAAATCGTACAATGTAATTGAGACCGACGATGGAGAGTGGGTCTTCTACAATCCTGAAAGTATGCATCTATACTATCTACTTTGTAAGTTTTGTGGTCAATTTCTGTTTTATTCATTTTAGCAAAGTCCTTTGAATACATAGAAAGCGAACCAGCAGAACAGGCCCCTGATAAACCAAATACGTCGCTAGTTGTGTCAGAGCAGATCAAGTTAGGGGAAAATTTGCTAAGAAAAAATACAGGTTGGACTAAGACAGAAACATTGCAGTTAATTGAAATCTGCAAAGAAGAAAGAAGTAATTTAAACAGCACGAAATTAAAAAAAAATTGAG